CTAGAGTCTAATAGAATAATTTGGTTTGATAGAAGTTAAATTCTTTTAATAATGAGTATTAGGCAGTTTTATTTTAGTTTTTCTATTTTTGTACTTAGTTTTTTATGATTTTCATATAATATTTTTACTGAATTTGAATATTATTAATAAAATAAGCATTATTACATTTAAAAAAAAGTGATTCAAATTAAATGAAATTTTAATATGTTATTATTTGAGATTGTAATTAAAATACAGAGGGTTACCAAAAGTCCCTAAATACTATTTTTTAAGTTTGATTTCATATTAGTAATGTCATGTAACTTAATAATATTATGATCACATGATATTTTAGAGTTTGTTTATATAAATCAAACTTAATAAATATACGTTTTATTTATTTATTTTGACTTTAACTCAAAATAAATTTCATTTTCTGAAATCAATAAAATGAGTAAAGAATTAACAAAAGAACAATGTGATGCTATATTTTATTATTATTAATATAGTAATAGTTATAGAACTATTACTTATGACTATCAAGTATGAGGCGTTAACAGTATTTGACACTTTAAAAAGAATAAATGAAATTGAAACTGCTAATTTAAGGTTCCGTTTTAGTTGTTTGCTCCTTATTGAACCTTCACAATGAAACTGGCTTAAATAACTTGTAACCAATAGCAAGAAAAAGAATCATCGCTTATGTATTACTGAAGTTTAACTACTTTGGAAGAAGAAGACAAATTAGGATATTTCAGTTAACACAATTGTTCGAACACTTTATAAAGCTGCACTAAGAAATTGTCTTGCTTAATGCAAGTCTTTAATCTCATCAGCAAATATGGAAGTATATTTTGCATGAGCTTTAGAACACTAAAGTTGAATAAAGCACGATTGGATAAAAGTCATGTGGAGTGATAAATTGACCTTTTTTTAATTTTAACAAAGCAGGTGTAGTAGAATATGATAGGAGCCACAAGATGAATAGAACCTTTTTTATGTTACTGCCACTATGAAATATAGCCTTAGACAAATATTTTAGGAATATTTTTTAAGACAAGATTTAGGACCCATTATTCTATTATCTGGAACAGCAACTGATGCTACATATGTAATCTTTCATTGTAAGCATGTTATGTCAACTATGAAAAGTATATTTTCAAATAATGATGGCTTGTTTTAAGAGGATAATGCTCATCCTCACAAATTGAAAATTGCGAAGAAATTTTATATGAAAAATGATCTATACATACTTTTTTGGCCTACTCAAAGTCCAGATTTCAATCCAATTAAGAACCTGTGAACTGATATTAAGAAAAGCATTTATGAAAGGAAAAATTGCTTTCTAATCTTGCTGAATTTAAACGATATGTTAAAAAAGTATAACGAGATATTCCTATATATATTATCAAAAATTTGGTTGATAATATGTCACAGTGAATTCTGGTAGTAATTGAAGTAAAAGGAGGCTGGACTAAGTACTAGTTACTTAGTATAAAATGTAGATCAAACCTTATTTAAATAAAAATATTATTGATTTTTTTTTGTTTTAATTTTAAATTTTGAATTTTACGTTAATCTAAAAAGTGTTCAGATACTTTTGATAATCTTTTGTATATTAAAATTTGATTTGATTTAGAAAAATGATATCAAAAATTATATTTAGAGATTTTTAATAGCCTTCTATAACTTTATTAAGAGTGAATAAAAGATGACCTTTTTTTTTTTAGTGAAAAAAAGCAAGTCCAAAAATTATTTCTTCAACAATCCTCATTTTTTCAAATACTTTAATAAAATCTGCTTCAATAGTAATAAAAGTCAATTAGATAAATAATCTCAACTATATATTTTTTCTTTAATTATGCAATTTTTTTTTGTACTTTTTATTGTCTCTAATTTCCTTTCTTAATTTAAAATGTTCTTTTTGATAATTTTCAAAACTTTTAAGATTTTCATTATTAATTTACTTTTTTAGTTATCTTTTCACATTTTCATAATCTCTTTTTTGCTCAAAAAATTTTATAATATTTTTTTATAGGAAATAGTTTTGTTTACATCATTTATATTGCAAAAAATTTTTAATTTTTTGCCTATTTGCTGGCTAATTTGTTTGATTAAATAATATAGAATTAGTCATAATATTATATTTTATAATTTTATATTTATACAATTAATAGACCTGCACAATAGTTATCAATTATACAAAAGGTTATAATTAAGAAATCTAAAAAATCTATACAGTGCTATTGCTCATTATTTATTTAGCATTATTTAGCATTTAGCTTTTTTTTCAGTTTAATTAAACAGTATTACATACATAGTATTTGTAAATATTTATTAATGCGCAATTCTACGCTCAACTTAACTTTTTTGCTTATTTATTTATATCAAATTAAATTTTCCATTAAGAAAATTGCTAATCAAAAGTAAAATAATCATATGGCCGTCTCTTGCTAATTCGAAGACGTGTTGATTCATCATCCAAACCACGGACTTGTTGTTGGAGAATAGAAGTAATATAGCCAGCAACTCCCTTTATATCTCCTTGTTCCATATTTTTAACATCAAATTTACATTGAAGTTGATCAGATACTTCTACTGTTGGATCCTCTGGAGAGCCAGCCCATCGAATAAAATACCATTGCAATGCATTTGTCACAATTCCGTACATAAGAACTGGAACACCATTATCATCATCATCATCTATTTCATCTATCTTACGCTTTTTTGTTAATGTCTATAAAAAAAAATAATGAGTTATACATGAAAAAACAATAAAAAAAATAAATAATAATGTAGTATAAATATTCAGACTTCTACAGCACTGCGCATTTGCACAATGTTCTCGGCAGCTCCTTTCTCGAAGTCTTCTTTTTTAACTACTGCAACTAATGCAATTATACTCCCAACATAAACAGCATAGTCAATGGGACCATAGCCATAGGATCCATCAAGCCACTCTTCAGCTTTGAGCTCAATATTTTCTTCTATTGATTGGACATGTTTTACAGCTGTAGTCATAAAAGCAGAAATGAACTCTCGGCGGGTTGATTCATTACGAGGAACATATTTGAAAGCACATTTCTTTTTCTTAAGCTCATCAATAAGTAATTTGAGTTCCTCTTCAGTAATTTCAGGAACCGGGTTTTGAAGGTCCTCTGTGATACAAAATCATATGAGAAACCATAAACAACGGCACCATTCTCAAATAAAAAATATACCTATTTCAAATTTACGAACGTCGCCTATGGAAGATCCGTCCTGATGCAAAACCTTCTTGAGAACCTCGCCTATTTCCCAGTCACCAAATGCTTTCTTACCTATTAAGAAAGAAAATAAATGAGAATTCATATCTAATCTAATTCAATAATTTATCAACCCTTAACCCGAATAGAAAGACTGATTGCACGTTCATTGTCTTCTGAAGGTTTAATTTTGCTACTAGTTTATTGAGCGCAAGCTCATTACTGATCTCTTCCTCTTCGTTTTCCTTCTTATCTTGACTATATACAAAAAAATATTGGGAGTTGTCTGAACTCAAAGTTTCCCATTTCGTTTCAGCTACATGACGTATAAGGTACCAAAGACCAGTATTATGCGGAAATCTTTTATTGTACCAGGGCATGGATAAATTGCAGCGAACAACAACTACAGACAGAAGAAAAACAATGAGCATGACATATACAGTAGGTGTAACAAAATACTCAGAAAATTACCATCAGAGTCAGATAATGGGTAACGCACGACAAGAGGATCCTTGTCAGTTGTATTCAAAGTATTAATAAGGGTACCCGAAGGAAGACGCGTGATACGATTACCGTACCTATAGAACTCGAGACTATCTGGATTAACACCTCTAAGAGGTTCTTTTTTTACAAAGTTCAGGGTTGATATCAACTAAAACAGTAGAATTAATCTCCGACGGTATCCTCTTAACAAGAAATTTTACAGAAATTGGTTGGTTCTCAATATGAATCCACAGCGTTATAGTTTCCATATTCAATATATTCAATTCACGAAGAATTACAGAGCCTTGTGGCTGTTCACGACTTATTAGAAATGATGACTCCATTTTGAGAGAAATACAAGAAATCCGACAATTTATAATTAATTTTTTACGTACGTTTCACGTGATCTGATATAGAATGAATTTTACCAAAAATGGATTATATCGATCATTCCTTTTATAGAAATGCTGATATTATTATCATATTCTTTTAAGAAAGATTTCAATTTTACAAATGATTCTGGTTTAATCATATTTGTTTTAACTTTTGCAATTTCTTCTTGTTTAGTAATCAGAATTGATTTAAAAAAAATCTAAACTATTATTAAAAAAGATTTTAGTAATATATTCTTTTTGAGTTTACTTTGCTATGGTCCAATTAATAAACATAATTCCAATGTCTTTCTTTTATTAATGTTACTCCATTTTGATAAAAAAATCCCATTCATGATTCATTTGTTGATTAATTCGGCAAGTTTCTTGACTTTATACGTCGAATTTCTTCAATAATCGTCCATTGAATCATTTTATTATCAAACTTATCAATATCATTTGCGCACGCAATCTTTTGATAAAATTCATTGAGAAATTCTTTTTGTCACTTCTAGTAGTAAAGTCATTACTTTCTTCCTTTGACTTCATATTGTATGAGAAAGCTTTTAAGTTTTCGTATTTTTTTTTTTTAGTTCGGAAAAACTTTTGTTCTACAAACAACTTTTATTATTTAATTGTGATCTGCTTTTTTTATAATACGTCATGCAGGAAGTTGATGCAGTAAGTTCAAATACTTTAATTTTTATAGATTAGAATTTATTAATTATTATGTACTCCAAAGCCCACCCAATATGTGACAAAGATATTGACAAAAAAAATTTCTGTAAAAGAAAATCCCATTATAAATCAACCATATCGATATAAAAATAAATGATCGGAAATCTGCATACATCACATTCCATTTTTCTAAAAAAATAAAAATGTAACAAAAAAAAAAAAAAATAATATACAATCTCAATAATTATTGTCGATTTTGCAATGAAATTAATTGTTTAATATTATCTTCCATTAAACGTAATTTTTCAGATAAGTCATGTTCAATGGACTGCATTTTATAATACAACATTTTACCATCTGGTTCTTTCAATAATCTCGTTCCATCATCTTCTTCATCCACAAACCAATATGAACATAATGGAACGACTCTTTGTGAATTTAAATTATCAGAATCAATATCCGTGGAAAAGGAATAAGAATGAGAATGATGATATGACTTTTGAAAATCATCTAAATTTTCTAGATCGTTTTCATCATCATAGGACCATGGATTACCACCTTCTATTTCTTCCAAGAAATTCTTATAACTTTCCCTATATCGTTCGGATTTTTCTAACCATTTCTCAATATATTCGGTTTTTCCAATGTAAAAAATATATCGAGGATCCCTTTTTCGATTTCCAAATGGTCTATCAAATGTTTCATAATCTGCGATCAATTCCGCTCGATATTTCAGCACTGCATGTTTACTAAGCTCTTTTGCCTGATCGTACGCGCCACTTAATAATAAAATAAGTTTGATTCATTAAAATAAATTTCTGTGAAAAAAAAAAAAAAATGGAACGAAATGAAATTTACGCTTACGCCATAATTGCGATCAACATATTTTGTAAAATCGTAACAAGAAGGATACTAGCAATGATAGAAAAGACATCTACTGGCCAGAAATCCCATTGATCTAATTGATCCCAACGACCGCTAGTCCAAAAGTAAACTGCTTCGATAGACTTAAAAAAATTCGTGAAATAATTATCTGATGTACTATTCACATCAAATTCTTGATTTATAACCAAATTAGTTAATCCCGGTACAAGATCTCCGTTTTCATCATAAATTCTGAAGGAGGAACCGTTAGGTTTGATGCCGATTCGATCTGTATTGCTAAGTAAAATAAACCTGAAAATATAAAGAAAGATATTAATAAATTTTCCTCAATCAAAGTGATCAAAAATTTCTTTAATCTCCGCTTACATAGTATGACCAAATCCGAGGACGACCAACAATATAAAGATCAAGAAGGATGTTATATTTTGTAAGATATTCATGACAATGTATATGTAAGCTCCGGTTTTCTCAAAGTATCGTAATAACTAGAATTTAAAAATATTAGCTTAACATAAGTTTATAAGAGCATGTGTCTTTAAGAGATTAAATTAAAGGCCTCACCAAAAAAGCTTCTAGCCATATTGTTAAAATCGTAAAAGAATCAAATATTGTGAACATTTCTGGATCCAGTTCAAAATAACTGGTAATAGCATTGGTTTTATATCTGAAATAATCTGATAGATTATAATAAAGTTGTATCGAAGCTGCCGTGAATGGCAATATGACCGAAAACAAATCAAAAAAATTGTAAACGCTAAAATATCTTCTCCATCCTACATATTTTAATTGAACTCTTTCAGTGTTCAATAAATAAAATCCTAACCAATAAAATAAAACTACAAGGGCAATAATATAATTAGGTATTTGAGGTCTAACGAATTGTTCCATTGTATTTGATAAAATAGTATATGATAATCCAAATGCAAGATAAGTCAATGCTTGTCTTACGAAATATGTTCTTGCCACGTTCCATTTGTAATCTATTACTGCGGCTATCGACGGATTGTCATAAATTTCCGTTGTGTAATCATTCCTAATCATTCTCAAAAATGGACTCAATTTTCCTTCTTGTTCTATTATATGATTACGTGGCCAAAACAATAATTTTAAGAGGACAATAGGAATGCTCCAGAATCTTCGTTTATCATGGATCCCATCAGGAAATACAGTAAAATCTGGGAGCGGGACCATGTAAACTTGATCGATCTTTCTGATATTTTTTGAAGTTTTTGTTTTTGGTGGTCTATTACTACCACAAAAAAAAAAGTTAATTTCATTTTGTTGCGTTAAATTTTAATTTTTTCCATTAATCCTACCTTGGTTCGTTTCGAGAAATAAAGAAACTATCATTATTTCTTTTGACGAGGCCTATTTCTATACTTAAAGCATGGATATTCTTATGATCACTGTTAATTATATCTTCAATATTAATCTCCGATTTATCCAAGTAAATTTCGTTAGAACCAAAGCAAGGCTTTAGAAATAATTCCTTAACAAAATATTCTAATTTATATTCATAAAGTACGGGAATTGCTCGGGATACCGCAAACATCCAACTCGAATTTTTTGTGGCATTATCAGAATAATAATCTAATAAATATTTTACAATAACAGTATCTTTACGGTAACTTCCCTTCGAGTGCTTGATAGCAATCTCGAGATCTGTTTCTTTGGCTTGCCCGTTCCAGGAATAAAGTCTTGGAAGATGTAAATTTTTATTCTTTCCATTTTTAGATTCAAATGATAAAATATTTCGGATAATGGAAACACGATTACCTCGAATAAGATTGGCCATAAGATCATAACGAATGTCCAACATTCTCCATGATCCAAAATTGCTGACTAAATATTTCTTGACGATATTTTCGGTTTGTTGAACAATATTTTCAAAAATATGTTGTTTCTTGGGACCTAAAGGTTCATTACTTTGCAAATCAAGAAATAACAATGCTTTGCACGCGTCTACCGGAACATTAACTCTATCAGGCCATTCAATTATGACTTGTTGTCCAAGTTGATTAGGAGCATTTCCAGAAGGAATATTTACCACTAAAGAGAATTCCCTATGATCAACTTCCAAAGATACAATTTGCATCCGTCTATGCATTTCTTTAAAAGGATTTGTCCAAATATACTCAAGAATTCTTTTAGGTGAAGTATCAGTAGCAACTCCTTTTTTTTTGCGCCAAACTTGAACGGTAGATTCTCCAACAATTAACTGAACAGTTTTATCCACATCAAGATAAGTCGTGGTACGATTGTAATGCTTGTCTTGTACCCAAGGTTCAGGGTCTTCAACGATCACTTTAACAGTTTCATGGTCTAAAGATGTTCCAGAAAGGTCATAAACTAAATGATATTCTGTTAAGGGAAGAGTTGTTGTGGATGATGAATTAGATTTTTCAGGTGAATTTATGTTAATTACGTTTCTCGTATTATCATTTTCAGGATTCAATATTTTAAGTATATGTGGTCTATCTAATGCCGAAAAAATCGTTTCATCGTCATTTATGAATATGAGTTTTCCGGAAGCGATAGCTATTCTTTGAAGATTTAAGTTATCTGAAAATAATAAGGGTGTTTCATCAATTTTTCTAACACAATTATTAGAACTACTAAATAGATCCCAAATTACGACGACGGGTAAACGTTCAGATTCCTCCCAATAATCGCCGTGATTTTTTTTTTCCTCAATAATGATCAATAATTTACTATCATTTTCAACGAAATCAAAATAGAGAATTCTTAAAACATCCTTATCTTTGAATTTCTTTGTGGTAACCTCTAAACCATTTTCCATTAAGTAGATGGTAATACTATTTGTACCACGACAATAAGCGAATAAGGTTTCATTTTTTGAAATGGTAAAAAAAGGACTACCTTTACCTACAATCGAAGCAACGGTTTCTTCACGTTTTCGGAAAAAATTGTCCAGCTTATTTGTTTTTAAATTATATGTTTCAATGGTTTGTACCTTATCTTTATAATTATCTATAATAAACCAGTCTTTTAACAGACTTCGACGAATGAAGTAAGCAAAAGTTTCATTTTCTGGTAACCTTTTCATTTCCTTAAAAAAACTTCTTGGATAATAATATTTGTCAATTAATTTATCGGGATATAAAAGTTTGGACCAATCACTTTTCCTATTATCGTTTACATTTCCAATTGTAGCATGTTTTATGTAGGCTTTAGTAATTCCGATCGCATTGAGAACAACCAATTCGGTTGTATCGTCATCCTCTTTAGTATTCAAAAATTTAATTATACCACCCTGATTATTAATTGGGGAGGCGATTTTCAATCGTCGTGCGGTTGAAATAATGAATGTTGCAGATTTATCTCGGTCATTCACATTGACATCAGCTTCTTCGGCTGAAATAAGCTCATTAGGAGGTGGTTGTGGTGATTTTCTCTTGTTCTTTAATATTTTCATATCATCATTATCAAAACAAGATACGGCAATTAATACTTCGACAGTTCCATCGGTCAAAGTAAATTCATTGGAAACGGTCAAGTTCCAAGCTTTTTTTACAAAGGGGATTTTGATATATCTATCATCAAAATTTATTATTTTGTGTGCATTTTTTAGATCTTTAAAATTATATAATTTTAATTGACAAGTTGAGGTGTTTAATGTTGCTATCCAATTAACATTTGGACTTATGCAAATATATAGATGTTCATTGTAGTTGTCAAATTTTCTAGAAATTGCACTCCTTTCATGTAGAAATCGTGGTCGTTTGGGTTTGTTGAACACCATGATTTGAATTAATGTAATTAAATATAATGGAAAAAAAAAAAAAAAAATAAAAATAAAAACTCGTTGCGCTTCTTTTTATCAAGATAAAATGGTCGTACAACGTGGTCGTCGATCAAATACTTTTTTTTCCTCTTCGGCATTTCTACTAAATTTGTTTAGCTAAATTAGTACGAACTGTTTTATAGTAAGACAGTTTGAAAATCCCAAAAGAACCGTAAAGTTATGAAAATGACTTTACGTTCAAAGAATTATATTAGATGTGAACATTTAATACATTTAATTCATTTGTAAATTTATTGATCGTAAATAATGTGATTCACCACGAAATATACTGAAATAATTTGATATTAAAGAGATTAATAATAAAAATAATTTACTATAATAATAATATTAAAATTTTCAATTTTAATAATGTTTCACAAAGCTCATTCTTTGTTATTCGAGATTTCCCATGACCAGATCGGCCAGTTGTGATTTCGGATTATTCTTCTGACGCCGAAAATTAAAGCCCTACGAATTTCTAAATTAGTTTCGTCTTATGACCTAAACCTTCTCGAACTCTCATTTGCCCGAATCATTACCGCAAAAAAATTTCGGATAAACTGTCTTGTCACAGTTAGTTTCGCTTGGTTTGACTTTGGAGAAAATAGAAAAGATTTTAATTTTAATTTTGAGATAGTTATCAAAGTCATGCCTCGTCTTCAAGGCGTGGAGAAAGAAAGTATTGAACCCAAATGATTTTTATAATTGATCGAATTTCTTAACGCTGATTTTCCTTGTCAGGTGTCAGTTAAATAATTATATAAACCAGTATATTATACGGATATACATAAAGAATTATCCAGATTTAAATGAATTCAAATCATGATTCTAATATTTTCTATGGCTTTTACAGGCTTTCAAAATTAAGTGATTGAAGTTCCAAGATTTCCCCACGTTGAAAAGGAAGGCGAAGAACGAAGCTACTAAACTTTTTTTTATTCTTGAATAACTAAATAATCAATCAATCAAATAAATGAAAAAAAATGACGAGACGGAACATCTCTCTTGAAGTTGTTGGTGGAGGATAATATACCGGTTATATCAATTATACATTAAATATTTGATATAAATTTTATGACTTAAAAAGTGATAACTATATTATTATTGCTGCCTTTTTTTTTCAGATATTTGAGGAAGTTAGACGATGCGATAAGGGTTGTTCGAAAACGGATCTACGGAACTAGATGGATCTGTCACCATATTGTAGTGTATTTTCCTATGTAATTTATTTACGGAAAAATACCTTAAAGTTTCCGAAATTATCCGAAGGAAACTTAGCATGAATAATCAGAAGACCATGTATGACCTTACAAAAGTGAAGAGAAATATTGGTCGGTAGCATGTGAAAAATAGTATAAAGTTTGTCAGGTTTTGCACAATTTGGCCTAACAAATAATGGACCCTTCGTCAAAGCTTTTTGATTCCTATATCAGCCAATGATTTGCAATAATGACTATTCACGTGTGATGGAATACTGGTTTAAAACTAAACCAATTCTATTAATTTTTATTTTATGATATCATTTCATTTCTAATAATAATCATCAAATGATGTAATATAAGCAATTAAAAAATTTTTGTTTCTTTAAATGTAATTTGATTTATATTAAATGGGAGTGTTTCTAGGAAAATCAGGTTCCGAGAAATTTTTGACTAAAATAAAGAGCTTAATACATTTTAATCTAATAACATCAAAAACTAAAATGCAATAAAAATCTCAATTTTGCTAAAAAATTCCCGGAACCTGATTTTCCTATAGTTTGTATAAAATTATTTTTTTTTATTTAATATATAAATATAATCTATTTTTATCACTAATAATCTTTATTAATATTAATATTGTCAAGCTTTTAAAATATATAAAATTATTATTTCATAAAATTTATATTATTTCTTTGTATATTTATTAGTTATTATATTATTAAAGTAAATATAACAAATAACAAATAATAATCTTGTATTTGAAGATATATAAAAAAATTAAGCTAAATATAAAAGAATTAATAATTAAATAATTGAAAAAATATGAAATAAGTATTAGAAAAAAAAGACTAAATTAACATTTCATATATTTTGAGATAAATAGGAATTTGTGTTTTTATAATCATAAAAAAAATAAATAAAAATCAGTTATTAATCTAAATTTAATAAAATCTAAAGATCATTTTAAATAGCTAATTTTTAAAATTATTTATATAAAAAGAAATAGTGTAATATATTTTAAATACAAATATTAAATATAATTAACAAATATTAAATAAAAAATAATATTTTATTATAGAAATTAAAACTGGTTAAATTTTTAACTAATTAATTAATTGTTTAAAATAGTTAACATATTAACCAGTTAATGATTTTTAATTAGTTAAAATAGATGAATTTAACTTTAACTAAAATTCTATTTTTAGAAAAAATTAAGATTTTTATGTTGTAAAAAATATGGTTAGTCTAAGTTAATTTTAACTAGTTTTAACCTTTATTTTATTATATAAAAATCTTTCTTTATTAAATAAAAATATTTTCTAACTAAATCTATATCTATTATCCTTTAAATAATAAAAATAATATTAACTAGGGATGGCGAGGGCCGTTGTGAAGTCCGGAGCATAAAAGGCGCAGGGATGTGACGGAGATGTGGAGAAAATATTCTGGGGATATAATGTAAAAAAATTCTTTCGTCGCAATATCACGTGTCTGTTCACTAAACAATATCTCCTTTAAACAGTTCACGTTCGAAAGGTTGCTTCATATAAAAAACTTGCGAAGGTTATAAGAAAGGATGCTCGAAGAAGGACGACTAGTTTCATTAATATCGGAAGAAGACACAATTTAATATAACAGTACGAAGCGTTAAAAAAATAGGAACAAAGCATCAAAATATTATTTTAATTCACATTTCTCAGAAAAAATGGCAATACAAATAAAAAAAAAATATAAAGCAAAATTTTTTTTTTAATGCAAAAAGTTTTTAAACAATACTGAAAAACATAGTAACTGAACATTATCGTCTTATAGGTCAAGCAGGCGAACAGAATGACATTTTGTATTACTGAGCCTAAACCATAATAGTCCTTCGCTACGCTCTGGACTAATTATAAAAATATTTTAATATTTTAATATCTAATAATTATAAAATGATAAAATAAAATTTATTAGATTTATTATGTTAAGATAATAATATTTATAAAATTTTAAAATTAATAGTTATCAATATAATATTTATTTTTCAATTTTTAAATTTTTTAAAAATAACTTATTATTTAATAATTATAAAATTTAATTTGTAATATGTTTAAGAATGAGTAATTGATAATCAATTTTAATATAAAATTCGTAAGTTATAATTTCATATAATTTAGCTTTCATTTTTAAATGTTAGTATTTTAATGACAAAAATAAGCTCACCTACTACAAAACTACTTGCTAAAGGCTTAATAGTTAACAAATATCATTATAAATATTTGCACAATATTGGTGAATATTTTAGCAAAAAATATTATTTCTATTTATCTTGATATACATGTAAGAATAAAGTTAAACACATAACTTTTCATACTCTGAGTTGTTGAAAATATTTCAAAAAAACTTTTACTAGGTTATAATTGTAAAGCAGTAGGAATATCTTCAATACAATTAACACCTTCAGCTGCAATTAATGAAGTGTATAAAAATATTTTTAGAAACAGCAACAGAATATAATAGGTAAGCTATTATAGGTTTTGATAAATAAATAGTTAAAGAGCTATTAGAAGATATTAAGTTTTATCCATTTTATAATAAATATACAAGGTATTTTACTTTTTGTCACAAGTTAAATTTAAATATGATTGAAACAGAATATATGTTAATATTTCTTAATAAATTTTATAATCAGCATTATTTATTTATCCAAAAAATAAAAACAAATTATTCTATATAGAAGTTTATAAAGATACAACAATTCTTATTTATTATGAAAGAAATTCACCTGAAGAGATATAGAAATCTACTGGAATTTTAAGAAAATATAGAAGTATGCTATTTAGTTTAGATCATCCGCAAATATTAGATGCAATTTAAAAAGTTAGTCATGTAGAATTATGCAATTATAATAATTAGAATAATGTAACTATAATAGATAAATTATTTGAAAAATATTTCAAAAGAAAAATTGCAATTGTTAGCATTGAATGAAGAAAAATATTTATAGAATGGTTAGCGCAAAAGAGTGGTATCATAGAATTTTTTAGTATTTTATAAACAATTTATCCTGAAGATTATATATTTACTGAATAAAAAATGCAAGCTTGAAGACATTTATTCAAAGCTGCAAAATATACAGAAATAATGCTTAATTTTATCAAAGATCAGATATATAAAAAAGGAATTATTTTAATATTATTTAATTTATTATTATTTAAATCATAATGTTAGCATTTTATTTTAGTTTTCTGAAGTACAAATGCAATTTTGAATGAAAAATATTGATCCTACTGCTGATAAAGAAATATTGAAAAATTTATACAAGATGGATTTATTACATTTATCATCAAAAAATCAAGATAACAATTCAGAAAACAAGTTTTGATTATACTTCTCAATATTACTTAACGCTAATAAAAAGAATAAATAAAAAACAAAGAATTTATCTATAATAGCTGAGAAATTTAGCTATAACAAACTCAATGATAAGCTAAATATAAGTAAATAGCCTTAATAACTTTATTATTAATTATTTATTATAAAATTAATAATATAATTTATTTATTATTAAGTATCACTAAATCTAGTTAATTTTACACAAAAAGTGCTAGAATCAATAGGCCAAGTTGTTTATCTATAACTAAACTAATAATAATGTGTACTAAAATGAATATAGTAAAAAATCAACAATTTGAAAATTTATGCATACTTATTAATATACATATTTTAAATAAAACTGTACAAGTAAATTATTTATAAAATAATATGAATCTTATA